GAGCTAATGTTAGTGGACAATTTTTAACACTCAAAAAGTGAGCTAAATAATAAAAAAATACATTAGTAAATTTTTCAAACATTTTATTTTACAATTAGCGTCCCATAGTTTCATCAAAGTTTAAGCTCAGTATCAATAAAAATGAGTCGTAGATGTACTTTTAAAGTTTAATTTTGGTAAGTGGTCCATGAAATACTTTGGTAACCGACAGGTACATGCATATTTCATCCATTTCAATGTAAGATGACAGCAGTAACTAATATTATACCTCGTTTCTCACTGCAATCTTGTTTCCGTGCCTCCATCTCAGCACCGGCGTGAGAGCAGGCAGGTCTCGCTCCTGGTGTCCYCTGACCACGTGCTTCCCCAGGCTGTACGCCGCCTCGAAGGCGATAGCCGTGAATACGTCCTTCACGTCTTTCTGCAGAGAGCACAAACAACCAGGAGATTGGAGAGCGGTTAAAACTACACGTAACCTCAAAGAAAATAATTATCTTGTCAGTGTCTGGGCTGTTAAAGCCATTTAACATCTTTCTCCAATTAAATGTGTGGTTCAAAGATTGACTTTCGCTGCAGATTAGGAGAAGATCACAGTCTGAATACGGCCATCGCTGAGCCAAAGAAGTCATGAGGTTCAAAGCACGTCCAAGTTTTTTGATTTCACAAGKAAACCAGTTTAAATGGATGTGTGACACATCTCTTTCATCAATAATTCTTTAAATATATTAATTGTTCATCAAACACTCGTTAAAAGTATTAAAAGAAGAACGGCTGAAAGTTGGGGGAAACGTGGATCTTTTTTTAAACCTGCTGGCACTGCCTGTGGGAGATGTCGTGGTTATCTAAAAGCACGAACCAGCTGTTTGATTTGGCATTGAGCTTGGAAGCAATGCAGACAGAATGAAAACAGAGAGCTTGATGTGATCAAATCTTTAATCTTCATTAGACGGCGGAGGCTGGAAGAGGCACGTGGGAAAAGCCGACGCTGATGTCGGGGATGGGGTTCAAACGCTGTCAAACAAACACACGCCGCTCTTTGAAGCGAGCATGATGGATCTGCCTCGGGGCTCGCAGGGAGAAAAAAAAACCYCAACCTGCACCCCTGATGTCCACGGACACAGAGCCGAGCCCACAAAGTCAACACGAAGCGCTTCCTCATGTTTTCTGGTGGTCATTAGGGCCGCTGGCTCCTCAGCACTTTCACTGGCTGGTGCTTTATCAGAGCACTTTCAACTGTCGGCCCACCCATCCTCTTTCCTCGGCCAGGTGGAGAGGCCAGCCTGGGCTTTGAGCACACGAGGTATCAGCGGTGTCAAACACACACCCAATGAGTCAGCAGTGGGAAAATTATGACAGGAAGGGACTGATGTCAGTATCGGACGTGAGTCGGCAAAAAAACTCCAACATCTGAGGCCCATATGGGAAACAGTGCTGCACACAGATAAAGACATGATAGCATCTGCTTTTACACAGTTTATTATCACTTCTGAAGTGGATGGCCAACAAAGATCTATCTGGAAGTTAAGTGTGTAATGAAATAAGTTGTGTAGGGCTGAGTACTATTAAAGAACTAGTTTGAGTCACAGGTTTGTATCAGAGATTAAAACAGTTACACAAACGTTAAAGGAGACATTATGCTTTTAAATCCTTCCATATAAAGTGGAACTGCAAGACTTTGGTCTGAATTCCTCCTTACTGCAACTGCACAAGCCCCGCCCCTTTTCTGGGGTGTGTCTCAGATCGACTCGCTTTGAGGCTGTCTCTTTAAACCCAAACAAGTCGCTTCACACACACACACACACACACACACACACACACACACACACACA